AAATGAATTTCATAGTACAAATACATAGAAAGTTTGATTAATGTTATTAGATTTTATCAAATTTCAAATCATAAATTTGTATTGACATTATTTCAATTTTCACGATGTAACTTTGTTAACGACAAGAGAAAATATGAGATATGTGCTAACCGCAAAGGTGTAAATGAACCAAATATCAAAATTCAACAATTTTAAATTAGTGACAGAATCAGAATTTCATAAGTATATTTTTTTTATGAAGGAATGTTAGTTGACATCCCTTAAGTACATGTGGCTTCGCCATTGCTTCGAATAGTAAAGAAGCATATTCGAATCTTTTTTTGTAACACTCTTCATTCTAATGTATGTGGCATCATATATATATATATATATATATATATATATAACTTGACAAAAAGTTTAAAAAATAAAATATTTAAATTTTGTAATTTAAAACAAACTTTAGTCTTTTGTGTGACTACAAATTATTTTATTAAGAATAAAAATAATAATTAAAATTAAAATTTTTAATTATAAAAAAGTGATATTCATTTTCGAATAGATTAAAAAATTGTGTCACATCTTCAATTTAAATTTTTCTCCTTTTATCCCTTTGTGTTTGTTGTGGTGCTTTGCATGCATGCAACAAAAAGGGACCCATATTTATGTCTTGTGGAACGATTTATTATAGATCACTTCGGACGAACCTTATTAAGATATCTTGTTTAAAAAAAAAACTCACACATTTTAGTCAACAATGTTGAAAATGATCATCAACTTTCTTTAGATTTGCATTTAAAGTTTAAATCTTAATTAAAATATTCTTGTTTTTCTTAAAAAAATATTATCTTTCTTGATTATATTTTTCTTTCCCATTTCTACAAATCATTCACATTTAAGTTGCAAAATCTTTTTTTTTTGTAATTAACGGGGAGTATTCATTGTTCCCATATATTTGCCAAACTTTGACTCTAAAACATGCAAGATTTCATGTAATCAATTCATTAAAATATATTTTTCCTAGATTTTCTATTAATATATATAGTCCGAGCTTTTTATAATTCATTATTTATAATAACATTTTATTGGAATCGATTTTTAATTTATATTATATTCTTTATAACAATATTTAATTACTATATATAAAATTAAAAGATTATTCAGGAAAATGATGCTATTATAAAACAATCACTATAACGATCAAATTTCCTTTAGAATCAATTTTTAATCATATGTTATTATATTACTATAATAACATTTCGTTATATAAAATAAAAAATATCTAGACAAACGAAATTTTTGGTGAGTGATTTTTTTTATAATTCATTATTTATGATAACATTTTATTGGAATCGATTTTTAATTTATATTATATTCTTTATAACAATATTTAATTACTATATATAAAATTAAAAGATTATTCAGGAAAATGATGCTATTATAAAACAATCACTATAACGATCAAATTTCCTTTAGAATCAATTTTTAATCATATGTTATTATATTACTATAATAACATTTCGTTATATAAAATAAAAAATATCTAGACAAACGAAATTTTTGGTGAGTGATTTTTTTTATAATTCATTATTTATGATAACATTTTATTGGAATCGATTTTTAATTTATATTATATTCTTTATAACAATATTTAATTACTATATATAAAATTAAAAGATTATTCAGGAAAATGATGCTATTATAAAACAATCACTATAACGATCAAATTTCCTTTAGAATCAATTTTTAATCATATGTTATTATATTACTATAATAACATTTCGTTATATAAAATAAAAAATATCTAGACAAACGAAATTTTTGGTGAGTGATTTTTTTTATAATTCATTATTTATGATAACATTTTATTGGAATCGATTTTTAATTTATATTATATTCTTTATAACAATATTTAATTACTATATATAAAATTAAAAGATTATTCAGGAAAATGATGCTATTATAAAACAATCACTATAACGATCAAATTTCCTTTAGAATCAATTTTTAATCATATGTTATTATATTACTATAATAACATTTCGTTATATAAAATAAAAAATATCTAGACAAACGAAATTTTTGGTGAGTGATTTTTTTTATAATTCATTATTTATGATAACATTTTATTGGAATCGATTTTTAATTTTATATTATATTCTTTATAACAATATTTTACTATACATAGAATTAAAAAATTATTCAAGCATATGATGCTATTATAAAACAATCACTATAACGATCAAATTTTCTTTAGAATCAACTTTTAATCATATGTTATTATATGACTATGTTTTCTATAATAACAATTCGTTATATTAAATAAAATATATCTAGATAAACGAAATTCTTGGTGAGAGATTTTATGAGGAATGTTCAGTGTTCCCTTATAAATAGCCAATCTTGACTTCATGACTTGCAAGATTTCATGTAATCAATTGATTGAAATTCAAAAAAATAAAAAATCCCCTAAACCTTAGATTTTCTATAATTCCTCTTAAATTTTCCAATATTTGAGGGTTTTCCAAAAAAAAAAAGATAGTATTTTCTGTATCTTAATACAATCATAGTCTTAGTGGTAGATAGATTTTGTTTACATATATATGGTCTTTTAACACTTTTTTATAATAGTAATTTCTTGCAATAATTTTTTACTATAACAGTAAAATTCTTTTTTGAATCGTTTTTTAATATATATTCTCTATAAAAAATATTTCGCTATAGCAATTAAAAAGTTTCTCGACAAATTAACTGCTTGTTATAGAAAGATCATTACTTTCCCTTGCCATCAACTTTTAAATCTCATGTAATTATATATTTTCTATAATAGTATTTTGTTATAACAATCAAAAAATATTCTCATATAATTAAATACTTAATCTTGACTTACTTGATTTCATGTAACAATTGATTGAAATTCAATTATTACTATTTCCCCTAAAACCATAGATTTTCTCTAATTCCTCTTAAAATTTTCATTTGGGGTTTTACCAAAAAAAATAATCAGATTTTTCTGTATCTTTTGAGAATGATAGTCTATGTGCTGGATGGATTTTCTTTCCATATATATATAGATGTACCCTTTTGGCTTTTACGTAAAAGAATCATACTTCCTATGTTTTAATTTATTTCGACACAGATAAATAAGATTTTTGAATCTTATAATTTTAAATACTTAAAATATACTAAATGTCTTTTAATATTATTGTCCTACACATATTACTTGGAAAATTATAATTAAAGAATTACCAAAAATTCGAAAGATACATAGAATATACTAAATGTCTTTTAATAGTGTTGTCTTACACATACTACGTGAAAAACTGTAATTCAAGAATTACCAAAAATTGAAAAAAAGATATTTCTTTAAAACAAACTAAAAAGGAAATAACACAAACAAATTAAAAAAGAAGTATTATAAATTCTCATCATTCTGAAAAAGATAAATCTTTAAATATCCAATCTTGACTTCATGACCTGCTAGATTTGATATAATCAATTGATTGAAATTCAATTTTTTCCCCCAAAAACCTTAAATTTTCCATTTGGGGTTTTACCAAAAAAAAAAACTCAGATTTTTCTGTATCTTGGTAAAAATCATAATATTTTGTACTGGATGGATTTTCTTTCCATATATAGCTACCCTTTTAGCTTTACTATAAATTTTGCTCAATATTTGATGTTGAAGAACAAAAAATGGCTAATATTAGAGCATCAAAAAAGATGAATGAGAAAGAAAAAAAACCCACAAAGAGGACTTGGTGTTGCTCAACTTGAGAGGATTAGATTAGAGGAACAGCATAAAAAAGATTCAATTTTTCAAACAATTCAATGCCCCAAATCTATACCAACATCATCAAGAATTGATTTTTCTTCAAAAGATTGTGTCTTTACACCAAATCAATCAACCCCTTTTCTTGAAAATTGCTCTAAATTGTGGAGTGGTAATCATTATAGTCAAAAAGTTGATCATCAGGGTGTAGTTTATGGGCATAATTTGAACTTTCCTGGTGTGCTGCAACAGAGATGTCAACAGTATCAGAAAATTTCTACTTCTACATCAATTGTAAGTCAGCTTCGTTGAGTTTTTAAGTATTCCTTCGTATTTAACCAGAAGGGAGCCTTGGCGTAACATAAGGTTATTTGTCATGTGACCTGGAGGTTACAGGTTCGAAATGTGGAAACAATCTCTTGTAGAAATGCAGGGTAAGATTGTGTATAATAGACCCTTATATGTGACCTGGAGGTCACAAATCCAAGATGTGGAAACAATCTCTTGCAGAAATGCATGGTAAGATTGTGTATAATAGACCCTTGTATGTGACCTGGAGGTCACAGATTTGAGATGTGGAAACAATCTCTTGCAGAAATGCAGGGTAAGATTGTGTATAATAGACCCTTGTATGTGACCTGGAGGTCACAGATTCGAGATGTGGAAACAATCTCTTGCAGAAATACAGGGTAAGATTGTGTATAATAGACCCTTGTGTTCCGGTCCTTTTAAGGACCTGCATATAGCGAAAACTTAGTGCACCATACACCCCTTCATATATACTTAACGAGGGGTCTCAGGTTAGATTCTTGGTTGCTTGTGTTTGAATTGTTGAGGAAAATTGTTTTTATTGTGGAAATTGTAGGTGAATATCTCCTCAGGGATTTCATCATCGTCATCATCTGTACAAAGTTTTCAGATGGAGCCCCCTTCAAACCAAAGTTATTATGGCTGTAAATGTTTACCTTATTTGCCTGAAGAAGTTAAGGTACTTTTATTAGTTTGCTTGATAAAAATGAATAAATCCCCGTTGTCGCCATAAACTAATACTCCCTCCATTTCAATTTGTTTGTCTTACGTACTATTTGTGTGTTTGATCCCCTGGTTCCAAGATAATGGCCAAAAAGAGTATCTTATGTAGCTAGAATAACAAAAAAAAATGGTATTATATGTATGCTCATAAATTTGATGTCTATTTTTCTGAATAGCTATATTTTGGTTTGTTGGTGATGTATTATAGATGGCGAGAGTGAAGAGGCCCTATCCGTTCTCTCCAGAATACCTGCCTGTCCCTTTTTTTCAATGCAAAAAGTGTTGTGTTTCCCCTGTATCCAGATCACACGAATCCACTTCTAGCAGCAATGAGTGCTCAATCAATGTAGAAGAGGGAAATGTGTTTAAAAGGTTCTATATCTTACCTGAAAATCGCTTAATCTTAATACTCGTGAGCCTTATAATTAGTCATTTGGCTTTTTTACAGAGAAGTTGTGTCAAAGTCGAGAGCTTTGTCAGAGTCTGAACCATCGATTTCACTAAGAGAAACTAAAGCTCTCAATGGAGATTTTCTCAGATTAGCTCCTCCAGCAGCAGCTTTGCCACATTTAGGAGCAGTAAATCGGCGTTCTTTAACTGATTCAGCCCCACAATGCCTTCAGCTATTCGACTATGTTCCCTCTCGGGTGAGACTAAAGGACTTCAGCACTTTATATTCTTGCTCATATACTCTGCCTTTTGAACTCGGTTTCACTACCTTCCGAACGTGTTTAATCTACAGGTTGCTGCTGCAGAGTATACCCCGCCTTCAGGACTAAGCATATCAGTTCAACAACCCATCCTCGGATTCTTCCCATCTGCAAAGGCGCAGATAGGTCAAGAAGGAACTCGTGGAAGTGACTTTCATACTGAAGTAGGAGGAAATGTTGATTTGGAACTGAAGCTATAGAAGTTAGTCCATGCCATATTTTTGTGATGTCCTGGTGCGTATGGCTCGCATTAGAGGTGTGTCTGTGGGGCTTTAATTCTTTTACATGATAGAGAGCGTTGCTTCGAGTGATTGTCCTACCATTTATTGGGATAGTTTGTAGATAATTTTATATACTTGTTGGTGCATGAAAAACATTGTGAAAGGTGAATCACAGAAGAGAGGTTTTCATTAGACTCGAGGCTCCGCTTTTTGGTTGAGTTTTTTAAAATTTTTGCAGTTGTAATAATCAACTATTTTAACAAAATATGGAGATTTGGGTTCTTCTTGATCTTGCTAAGTTCATGTACTGAGGTTGTGTTGCAAATTTTGGACCTAAATGTTTGTCGTGAATTGCGTGACCATCTCACCTAAAAGTAAAAGTTGTTAGAGAAACACACTTTTAATTACTTAATTATGTCTGCAATACACGGGGAATCTTATCGCTCTGGAGAAACTCCCTACACTCTTAATGAGAGGTTCAGCTAGTAGTCCTAATATTACTTTTCCAATTACCAGAAACAGTATGGCCTTTATCCATGCAATTACAGATCAATCAGTCTCCTTCTGCAGAAACTTTTCCGTCAATTCCCAATTCTTCTGCATATCACAAATCATTTCATTATACAGTTAGACCTCACTATATCAGCCAAGTTTTTTGGGAATCAATTTTTCATGTTAGGTTATATTATGACATAATACGTAGACCAACACCCAAACATGGCCTTAGTTGGCAAGTAAGCAAGCACTCCAACTTTGAGAGTGCATATCTAGACACCTCAAACTTGGTCTGAAATTGCAACTAAACACTCCAACTCGTCTCCATTGTGTCTCATGGACACTAGACGCTTACATTATGCGTAAATTTTGGAGGTGTCTAGATGATAATTTTGTAAGTTGGAGTGTTCAACTGATACAATGGAGACGAGTTGAGGTTTTTAGGTGTGCATATATAAAGTTGGAGTGTTATTTACTTGTCAACTGAGGCCAAGTTAGAGTATTTGTTTAAATATTATGCCTTATATTATTAAATTAATTTCTGGACACGTGAATTGCATGTATACCTCATGTTATTGTATAAATATTTTAAAATAATACAAATTAGTTATTGTAGATTTGAAGGGGGGAAATGCAAGTTTAAACTGATGAATGGTGAGCTTAGTCAACCGACTTAATTGTTGAGCATAAGATGATTAGATATTATTTGAATAAGTAAATTTAGTGGTAAAACTGTAATCATATTCAACTTTATATTTCAACGGACATATAGTTTATATGTGAATATAAGTGACATCGGCTAGCTAGAAATGCTTTACATCTAGTAGGTTTTTTTACGGCGTATCTTTAAGAAATTGTAGTTTCCTTTTTTTTGGTAAAATGATCATACGATGTTGTTTTAGAGATGTTTGACAGTATATGTTCTTATACTGATCATTCATAGATTATAGGACATATTCATGGATTATAGACTCTGAAGCAACATACATTCATCTTTTTTCTTACTTGGTAGATATCATCTTTGGACTCCGGTGTGTCCTACATTGTGTAGACACTGGGAGAATCCGATAACAAATTCCTCCACAATGATCATCTCGTCTCCACTCACATCAAATTGTTTGATGATTTTGTCTACTTTTTCATCAACATCCAAAAATGTTGTTGCACCCGTGACAGATCTTTCAAAATGCACTACTTTTGGAGGATCCACCATGCACCTGACATAATTTTTCAAAGAGTCCGAGCAACATACTTGATCATTAAAAGCAGTTACTCACTTTTTTATAGCAGAAATATTTGGTTTCCCATTTTCTGTGTACAGAGTTCCTACTGCAGTGTTTTCGACATGTTGAAAAATATCTGAGAAAATATGTTTCATCATTTCGTGTTCTTTCCTTTTCTTTTTGAGCCAAGTGCCATGGACTTAGAGTCTCACTAATATTCCATGCGGCACTTGACAACTTACTCACGAATCTTTCACGATCTTGTAAGCTCAAGTAAGCCCTTTGAAACTAAGATCGCTAAGAGAATGCAAAGAAAGACTTAGAAATATTTAGAAGAATGCTTTGTATTGCTTGGAGAATGATTACAACTTGCTTGGTTTGCTTTCTTGGTGCCTAGCAAATGAGGGGCACCTCTATTTATACTAACACCTAGGGACTAAAGTGCAATTTAAAATTACTTTCTAAGTCCCTAAACTTATTTACACAAAAGCCCCTTTCTAGAATTCTCTACACACTCTAGAGAATTCTAAGGCTTTCTTCAAATATCTAAGTCATTCTAGAGAATTCTAAGGAATTCTCTAGCCTTCTTGAATAATCTAAAAGGTTCTAGAGTTCTCTGCAACTGTCTCCACAACTCTAGACCCTTCCACCCCTATCCGGACGCAAAATATAGCTGTGATGTGGCGGGACGTGACACAAGACACAACTCTTTGTATATCTTATCGACTTTTAAAAAGGGTAGCTTGGGCACGAAGCATTCCGTGTTCACATAGGGTCCAGGTAAGTGCCGCACACCCCAAGGGGCTGTGATGTAGACAACTACCTACCCTGACACAAGCATCAGTGGTTGCTTTCACGACTCGAACTCGTGACCTATATGCTATGATGCTCGGACTCTCCAAAAAGGATCACACATCGTATCAGATCCTCCAAAAATGCACTATTTTGGAGGATCTGACACGCAACAATCGACATTAAGAGTCCGAGCAACATAGACTATAATTCATTGAAGGAGAATTCTACCCTTCCCTCAAGGCTCCACTTCTAGTTAGGAAAGTATATCTTTCGAGGATCTTATGGAGTGGTATCTTTTACCCATTGCATCCTTTGTTTCATCTATCCATCTTGTGAAACCTTTGACAAATTCATCCATATTGATCATTCCATCATCATCGAGATCAAATTCTTCAATTACCTCATCCGTTTTGTAATCCTTGTCCCGATATAATTTTCTTGATCTGATTTTCATGAAAAGTTGTTTTCGCTCAGGTACTGACACAAACTTATCTCTGTCCTGATCAGCCTCTCAAATACCCTGCATCGCGTCGATAAGAACATGTTTACTTTTTGCATATTATGTACTGAAATTCCCACCTATGTTGCTTGGACACTCAAAATGTTGCCACATCTGTGATGGACCTCCCAAAATGCACTATTTTTGAAGGATCCAACACGCATCCGACAATCATTTTTGAAGAATCCAAGCAATATAGGTAATTCCCACTATGAGATTCATGAGCAAAAAATAGAATTAAAAAAATATTACTTTGATATAGGAGGTAGATTAGGCGAACCGTCTTCTCGGAGGAGTTTCTCTATGGTATGTTCCTGCACATGTTTTAGTATATCTACTACAAAATGCTCATGCTTTATATATTCTAGCCTCCTCTTCGGAATCCATGGTTGGAATATCTGTAGAATTACTTGTGGTTTTCAGAAGGCTTGCAGTTTAAACATATTAAGATCACAACAAATGCATCGATAGGGGCACACGAGAAGATGCGTTTGGAAATTACATTGTATATATAATGTCTAAATTATTTTATATATGTATATATAGTATGTATTGAATTCTCTTGGCTTCTTCATGTGAACACTCCAACTTTGAAAGTGCACATCTAGACACCTCAACTTGGTCTCAACCAGCAACTAAACACTCCAACTCGTCCCCATTGTATCTTGTGAATACCCGATGCTGATGTGGCACAGAATTTTTGGAGGTGTCTAGTTGATCATTTTGTAAGTTGGAATGTTTAACTGACACAGTGGAGACGAGTTGAGGAGTCTAGATGTGCATACTCAAAGTTGGAGTGCTTACTAGCGGCCAAGTTTGAGTGTTTGTTTAAGTATTATGCCCTTCTTTATATTTTGAATTCCGTTAGTGAAATGCATCGATATAAGGATTTTGAATTACATTGGTAAAAAAAGTAAGACAGTAGGAGTAGAATGGAAACCACAAGTCATAGAATGGGACTGTAGAATATGAATGGAATCACACATAGAACCATTCCACTGTAATATTCATAAATTAAAGATACATAGAATGTACTAAAAATATCTTTTGATCTTGTTATCTTAAACATTTTAGGTGGAAAATAGAAATTAAAGAATTACCAAAAATGAAAAGAGACATTTTTAAAAAAAAGAGAGACTAAAACAGGAAAGTAAGTAACACATTGAAACATTTAGATGGATTTTCTTTCCATATATAGGAAAGTAAGTAACACATTTTAAAAAAAAGACTAAAACAGGAAAGTAAGTAAACCATGCACATCTATATGGATTTTCTTTCCATATATAGATACCCCTCTGGCTTTACTATAAATTTTGCTCAACATTTGATGGTCAACAACAAAAAATGGCTAATATTAGAGTATCAAAAAAGATGAATGAGAAAAAAAAAGTCCCACAAAGAGGACTTGGTATTGCTCAACTTGAGAGGATTAGATTAGAGGAACAACATAAAAAAAATTCATTTTTTCAAACAATTCAATCCCCCGAATTAATACCAACATCATCAAGAACTGATTTTTCTTCAAAAGATTGTGTCTTTACACCAAATCAATCTGCCCCTTTTCTTGAAAATTGCTCTAAATTGTGGAGTGGTGAGTATAGTCAAGGTGTGAATCAAAAAGTTGATCATCATGCAGTTGTTGTTTTTGGACAAAATTTGAACTCTCCTAGTGTGCTGCAACAAAGATGTCAACAGCATCAGAAAACTAGTTCTACATCAATTGTAAGTCAGCTTCATTGAGTTTTAAGTATTCCTTCATGATATTTAACTACAAGGGGAGCCTTGGCGTAATGTAAAGTTGCTTAGATGTGGAAACACCCTCTTGCAGAAATGCAGGGTAAGGTTGTGTACAATAGACCCTTGTGGTCCACCTCTTTTCGGGATCCATACATCACGTAAATAAACATTTGGAGCTCTATACATATGTACTATTGGGGGTGTTATTTGTTGTTGCTACTTGTTCTCTTCTTAATTGTTTTCAACATGGCTTCTTTGTTATTGTATTTGCATTAGATACTTGATTTTTGATATGCTTACTCGAGGTGAGGGTCTATCGAAAACAACCTCTCTACCTTCACTAGTTAGGGATAAGGTTGTGTACACATCAAGAGAGCACTATGTGTGCTTGATCTCCTGGTTCCAAGATAATAGCCAAAATGAGCATCTTATGTAGCTAAAATAA